AGGATTGCTATGAGTTGGAATAGACATGACGGCGCTTAACAACAATATACGTGTGTGTGTGTGTTTTGTTATTTTTGTTAGGTGCCGTGGAGTCAGTTCTGACTCACAGTGACCCTGCATAGGATTTTCAAGGAGCGGCTGGTAGGTTAGCAGTCCACTGCTGATCCTACACACCACGTATGTTTAAATGCATAACTATGCTGCCTGATAGGACAACGTGGGAATGAGGTCACAGCAATGTCCAGCTTGGCTTCATAAAACACAAATAAGGATGGATGTACAACACCAGCACTAGGTTTACCTCTGAGTGCCCTCAACGTGCCCCTAAGCCCTGGCTGAGAAACCATGGCTGGGCCGGTTCTGCTATACCAACATCAGTGGGAAAGTGGGAAGGCACTGCCCAGGGCTCACGTACTTTTCTCTCTTGGAAATCTGGCAAAAAAACAAGACTCCCTCTTTCTTACTTGTGCAGTCTCCCTGCCCTCCCTTAAGGCAGCTCGTGTAAACACTGCCCACTTGAGCAAACAGGACAAGCACAGGAAGCGCCAATGCAAACAAGCCTGCTGTGCTCTGGATGCTGGATCACTACAACAGGGTGTGGTGCTGGGTTACCTAGGCTCTGAGGTAGAGAGCTGGACACAACAGCTCCCTGGCCCCCAGGGGAGGAGTCTTTGATGGGGTCCATGACATAGCTGCCATGTCAGGACCCTACCTTTCCTACCACACCAACCCAGAGTCCTTCTTTCCTACTAGCAGGATGTGGGGGTTACACTGATTCTTCCTATGGCCTGGTCAAGATGCCACATTCCTGTGTGTCTATGTATGTGTGTGCTTTTTTCTTCCTCTTCTCTTTCCAGCTTGGTCCATCACATAGAAGCTTCCACTAACACGTCTGTGAGGTGTGGCCAATTCCATCACTGAGACCTGCCATTAATGGGGTCATTTTTACTAGGAGAGGGGTGACTTTCCTCAGAAACAACATATAAATTTTATTCTTTGTCTCAGGTTTTCATGAACTCAGGCATGGCTTGTGCTTCTCTGGGCTTTTGGAAAACAGATGAAGCAGGGATAGCTCTCAGCCAGCCTTGGTTCTCCCTGTTCCAGCTTCTTAGTCAATGACTTTATTAGTAAATCCAATTCTGGAAGCCACATGGGTGATGATGTGGAGACAGTAGGAACCCCATTCTCATGACAAGACTTAATGTATCCCTCAATAAGGTGTATCAGGGAACCCATCTTTGGGTCATAAAGCATAAATCTGAGCAGTCTGTGTTCACACCTGAAAGTGAGGAGAGAGAACTGACTGGCACCAAACACCTGACCACCCCACGCCCACCATCACTGCGCCAACCTCACCTCCCACTGGGTCTCCTCCAGCGCAGGCACAAAGTTGGTCTTCTCCTTCTCGTAGGACCTCAGCTTGCTCTCCAGCAGGTCCTGCTCCTTCATGAGGCTCTCGAGCTCCTGCCGGAGCTGCCGCTTCTCTTGCTGGAGCTGGAGCACCTGGAGGTGCAGTACCTGCTGCGTACGCTGGTTCTTCTGCGAGACCTGCTTCAACTTGCTGGTACACTTCTGCTCCAGGCCCTCCAGCTCCTCCTTGCAGCGCCGCTGCCGCTCCTCATAGGCCTGGCTGGTGGCCAGCTCCTTCTCCTCAAAGCTGCGCTGCAGCTTCTGGAGCTCGCCCTCCCTCTCCAGAAGTTTCTGCTCCAGTTCCTGGAGGGTGCACTCGTCTGTGGAGATGGGGGAGCGGACGCATGAGGGGCCCTTGTCCGCCTTGCCCTGGTGGGCCAGCTTGCTCCCCCCATCAGAGAAAGACAGAGCCTTCAGGCTCATCATGTTGCTGTCCTGGAGGATGATGCCCTGTGTGATGTTGTGGGCCGAGCCTCCAAATCGACTGCTAGGGCCCACAGGAGTGACCAGTGGGTCCAGCTGATAGCTGCTGCTGGTGCTGTGTGTGGGCAGGCTGGACATGGAGTTCCGGCCAGAGTCAGACAGTGCCCCAGAGCACAGGCTGGGCTTCAGCTCCTGTTCCTTGGGCTTGTCTGGAGGAACGGGGTGCAGCTGGTGGTTGCCACTCTCGGGGGAGGAATGGAGGAGGGCTCCTGACCGGGGCAGCATGGGCTTGAAGGCAGTGGGTCGTACCGCCCCTTTCTCGGAGCCCTAGAAGGAAACAGATGGCCATGACCCCAGCCTCTCCCTTCAGCACTCATCCTGTCTCTGCCCCTCCACATGCTTCGTGACCCACACCTGACCACAGTGCAACCCATTTGGTCCCCTTCTTGGTCAGTAGTTACTGTTCTCACTGGTTGCTCTAATGTAGACTAATGTGCTAAATCTCTGAGGAGCAAACCCTTGGTACCTGGGAGAACAGCCTTGATGATCACCTAGACACGTTGTTCTATGAAATACCAACCTATCAGCAGTTCGTCCCAGCCTTCCCGAGAGAAACACTAGCTGAGATACTCGGGCCAGGGCTCCGGCTCTGGGTTTCTGTGTGGTGTAGGGCATGGCGTTACGCTGGAAGCTGGCTGGATAAGCTTGATGGACTTACTTGTGTAAGTGGATCCTCTTTCTTAACCTTCACTGCTGCTTCCATTAAGCTTGGAGCAAAAGTACTGGGCCCTGTCCTCTCAAAGGGCTAGAAAGATCACTAAAAGTAACAATTCTTTTTTTAAAAAAATTTTAATTTTCATTGGTAGAATACTTTGCAATTTAGAAAGCACTTATTTTGTAAAGCTTAAAGGTCTCTTCAAATATAAAGGGTCATTTTCTAATATATCAAAGACATGACTTCATTCCCCCTAGGTAGCTGAAGAGCAAAGATGTCAGCTTGAGAACTAATGTGCACCTAATCCAAGCTATCGTATTTTCAATAACCTCATATGCATGCAAAAGCTGGACAGTGAATAAGGAAGACCGTAGAAGAACTGATGCTTTTGAGTTATGGTGTTGGAGGAGAATACTGAAAGTGCCATGGGCTGCTGAAAGAACCAACAGATCTGTGTTGGAATAAGCACAGCCAGAGTGCTCCTTGGAGGCCAAGATGGCCAGACTTCATCTCTCATACTTTGGACATATTGTCAGGAGGGACCAGTCACTAGAGAAGGATATCATGTTTGGTAAGGTGAGGTGGTCAGAGAAAAAGAGGAAGACCCCAGCGAGATGGACTGGCCAAGTAACAGCATCAATAGGCTCAAGCGTGGCAACAATTGTGAGGTTGGCCCAGGATCAGTCAGTGTTTCGTTCTGCTGTGCATAAGGTTGCTATGAGTCGGTATCGACTCAATAGCACCTAACAACAACAACAACAGGTAGGGAGGGAAAGGAGAGTTGATTAGGATAATTGTTTTCAGTGCCACTGGTGGGGCAGACCCATGAGCACTTGAACTGCTACAAAAGGTGAATTTCTGAGCATCTAGGACACTTCTGCCCTCATCCCTGCTAAATGAATGATAACAGCAAGCTCACAGCCTTGTCCAGCCATCCACAATTCTGGGATAGGCTGGAGCGAGAATCTCACTGTACCGCCGCTGCAGTGAATGAAGAAAGGTCCCACTCCCATGGAGGTGTGAGGCCATGGTGGTTCAGTGGTAAGATTCTCACCTTCAATGTGGGAGAACTGGATTCAATTCCCAGGTAGGGTCCTTCATAAGCAGCTACAACCCATCTGTCAGTAAAAGCTTGTGTGTTGCTATGGTAGAAAACCTTATGAATCACAATAGCCCAAGCCCCGGCTGGTAACGGGGATGGCACAGGATTGGGCAGCACTTTGTTCTGTAGTGTATGGGGGTTGTCGTGAACTGGGGGCAACCTGATGGCAGATAACAAGCACCATCACCATGAGATGTACAAAGTCTACTAGAGAGAGAAGCTGCAAACACTCCAACAGTATCTTCCTTCTGCTCTTAAGAGAAAATACAAAACTCCCTCTCCTTCTCAAGTGTTTGTCCTATCTAACCATCCAGAGTTACAGGACCGTAGAGCTCAGGGAGGGCTTTAACTTTCCCATTTGCTCTTCGCTTCAAGGCTACCTAAGACTGTGGTTTAGGGGACTGACCAGTGTGCTAAGCCCTTATCCAACCTTTGATCTCTGTGCTATGCCACCATGATCACTGCCCTGGCCTCTTGGGAGATATAAATTTCATAGATCACCCCCACCCTCACACCCCCATCTCCAGTCTGCTCTCCCCTGTCTCTCCAACATTTCCTACCTTCCCTACAGACCCCCACTTACCATTTCTAGCTGATTGGAGAAGGGCACAAGCTTGGACGGGGTGGACAAGCCAAACTCCACCCCAGCTTGGCCCATGTCCCCACTGGACAAGGCAGTGTAGTCTGGACGGGATCCCCGGGTCTTCTGGCTGACCTTGATGTAGAAGAAGTCTTCACTTTTGCCCATTTTGGAGCTGGACTTGCCATGATTTGATTCCTGGGAAAAGCCAAATTTCAGCAGCCCATCTGAGTACCGATTGAGCTTCTTGAGGTGGGAGGACTTGCGCAGCTTGTATTGGGAAGCCCGACAGTGCTTGCTGTGGAAGCCATGGCCAGAGATGAGGCTACTGACGCTGCCCATGGTGACTTGGAGCCAAGGACAGACAGTGCAGGGAGGGGGCTGGACGTGGCTGTGGCAGCAAGGGGCAGTCCTGACTCTGCGAGGGGCCTGCAGTCATAGCAAAATCCTCACAGAGCCTAGGAGATTACAGATCTGCAAGGAAACACAAGGCAGAAGTCAGTCTGGAAAGGGCTCAGTCGCCAGTCAGTCCTGGCTGCTAGATGGGGCAGTATAGCCATCCATGTCATAGTAGTAGTTTGTCTACTACTGGGTCCTCCGCTCATTCCTTTCTCCACCAAGGCTAGTCTAAGCACTGGGGATGCAGAAGTCAACAAGACAGAGCAGTGCCCGCACTATGGGGATTCCATTTAGTACAGTGTGGGCAGACCATAATCAAATGTGTACTCTATTGAGTGGCAGGTCACTGGTGACACAAATGGTTAGTACTCTGCTACTAACCAAACGATTGGCATTCTGAATCTATCCACTGGCACCAAGTAAGAAAGCCGTGACAGTCGGCTTCCATAAGATCACTGAAATCCCTATGAAGTACATTTCTACACAGACACACACGGGGTTGCCATAAGTCAAACACACATGAGTCTCCAAGAGTCAAAATCAACTCGATGACAGCAGGTATAGCAAGCTATATATACACATATGTGCTATGGGGATAATGAAAGTTGAGTTAAAAGGATACAGTTCTGGGAGATGGGTATTTTATACAGTGTAGTCAAAGGAGGAGTCTCTGGTAAGGTATCATCTGAGGAGGCCAACAGAAAAATGAGAGAGAAAGCTGTGCAAAAACCGGGGCGAGAGAGCGTATCATAAGGAGTTCCCAGGGCAAAGGACTTGAGTTCATGAGTGGAATGGACTTGACATATGTGAGACCGGCAAGGTGACCAGTCTGGCTAGAGGACAGTTAGCAGAGAGTACTTAGAAACAGAAAGAAGCAGCGGTGGGTATACAGAAATAGAAAGAAGCACAGAGCTAGCAAGGTGCAGACAACATAGAGTCTGTTGGGTCATAAGGACTTTGGCTTTTACTCTGATTGAGATGCAGAGTCACTGGATGACTTTAGGCAGATGGCTTAGGTTGTGGAAGGTCTTTCTTGCTGCCTGTTGGAGAAGATACTGTTTAGAAGTTGGGGGCACAGTTACAGTAATTAAACTTTAGATTTTTTTTTTTAAGGTTTTTATTGTGAATCAGTCATAGTTTACATGGGAGAACATCAGTTTTACATTCATTGTTTCACTGCAATGATTACAATCCTCTCTGTGCATAATCATTCAACAGTATTTTCTTCTATTCCCTCTGTTTTTTTTGAGGAGGGGGGGGGGGGAAGGAATGTACACAAAAATACTCAGGAATATATAATCATTTAAACAACCAAAGGGCACATTCTGCAAACCTGCCTCCTGGCTGCCAGCTCACACCCTTTCTCTTTCCCTGAGTCTACAGTCCTCAGCTGCTCTATCTCTTGATATCATCATCTTTGCCTCCATCTCTGGTGTCGCTGCTTCTCTGGATAGGGTCCCACATTCCACTCAGGCTCTTCTCCCTTGATGGTCCTAGGGTCTTCTGTTACTGGTTAGATATATTTTTAAGATAGAGTTGATAGAATTGGCTAATGGGTTGAATGTAGATAGAGTGAGAAAGAGAAAAGTCAAGGTGATTCCATGGTTTTGACCAAACAACTAGAAGAAAGTTGCTATTTATTAAGATGTAGAAGACCACAAGAGGAACTAATTTGGGATGGACTGGGGTCGGGTGAGAAATAGAAGTTTGGTTTAAGCCATGTTAAATTTGCAAAGTCTATTAGACATGCAAGAAGGGTTGTGCAGTGGGAAAAAGGATGTGTGGGAAGAGTCTGGAAATTTACATGCAAGAATTGTTAGTGTATAGCAACCAGTCATGAGACTAGATGAGGTCACTCAAAGAGTGAATCAGGGAAGACAAGAGATGAAGTTGAAGTCTGAGAGCTAGTTAACGGGGCATTCCAACATCAGGACAGGGATATGAGGAGCAATGAGCACAGGAACCCAGAAAGCTTCAACACTGGTATTGGAGATCTAAGAAAGCCTAGTAAAGAAACTGATTCATAAAGACAGTGTCCAATGCTGTTGTAAGAAGTCAACTAAAATGATGACTGAGAATTGGTCACTGGATAGCCACATGGAGATCACTGGTGACCTTGGCAAGTGCACCAAATGGTGGAGTGGTGGGGAATAGAGGCCTGACTGGAAAGAGTTCACAAGAAACAAAGGGAGGAAATCACTGCACTCTCAAAAAGTTAAGAAGTATGTGACAGTCTTGGTTTGGATACTCAGCCCCACTACATACTAGCTATGATAACTGAGGTAAATGATTTAACTATGTAATCTTAAATTTGGCAAACTAATTCTATGACACATTTAAAATTAAGTGTTAATAGGATTGTATCTGATAATCGATGTTAAAAACAAGAACAACCACCTGGCCAGTAACCAGACAAAGGAATAAATTAAGATACCATTGCCTGCACAGGTGTAGATTTCAGTGTAGATACCACAATATTCAAAGCTAAGAAAGGCTGTGTAACTGCCAAGCATTATGAATTATGGGATCAAAAACTACAAGTTCAATAAAACAGGAAATACAGAAGGAGCCCTGTATTCTTAATTGTTGTTGTCAAGTACAGTGGAGTTGGTTCCGACTCATAGTGACCCTGCACAGGGTTTCTAAGGCTGCAGATCTTTACGGGAGCAGAAAGCCTCATCTAATGCAGAACAGCTGGTAGTTTCGAGCTGCTGACCTTGAGGGTCACAGTCCAATTCATAACCACTAAAGAGCTCGGTGGCGTAGTGGTTACGAATCAGGCTGCAAGCCACAAGGTCTGCAGTTTGAAACTACCAGCTGTTCCGCGGGAGAAAGATGGGGCTTTCTGCTCCCGTAAAGATTTGCAGCCTCGGAAACCCTGTGCAGGGTCGCTATGAGTCGGAACCGACTCCACAGCACATAACAACAACAACAACAACAACAACAATGCTACCACAGCTTCTTTAATTATCAATCCTTAAAGGACTAAAAGAGCCCTGGTGGATTATGTCGAGTCAAATATGCAGAGCCCAATGGGTGGCCCATGACTATTGACTCTGAATGAAGACTTGGGTTCAAACTTGCAATTGCTAACCTAAAGAATGAAGCAGAAATGTTAAGAATAAATATGTTCTGCAGTTTGATAGGAAAAAGAAAATAATTATCATTAGGTAACTTTCATGTGTATGACAGCTTAAGAGTAAAAGCCTACCTAATGGGATTGTTGGAGTACTGGTGTAGCACTGTAGGTTAATGCGCCAGCCTGCAAAGCCATTTGAACTGCAAGGTTGGCAGTTCAAGCTCACCAGCTGCTCCTAGGAAACCCTATACAGGGTCGCTATGGGTCGGAACTGACTTGACAGCACTTAACAACAACAATGGAATTATTATGAGAAGTATATGAGCTGCCCGCCACTGTAAGACAGCAACTCTGGTGTCTTTACTAAATATCTGGTACGTGTTGTTGTTAGGTGCCATCAAGTTGGTTCTGACTCATGCCCAACAGAATGAAACATAGCCTGATCCTGTGACACCCTCACAACAGTTACACTTGAGCCCATTGCTGCTGCCACTGTGTAAATCCATCTCCTTGGGGATCTTGCTCTTTTTCACAGGCTCTTCACACTACCAAGCATGATATCCTTTCTCCAGGGAATGATCCCTTCTTATAACATGTCTGAAATGAATCAGAAATGAAGTCCAGTCATCCTGATTTCTAAGGAACATTCCAGCTGAACTTATTTCAAGACAGATTTGCTTTTTCTTCTGGCAGCATGCTACTTTTGATATTTGTCTTCCAATACCACAATTTAAATGCATTGACTTTTCTACAGTCTTCCTTATTCATTATCCAACTTTCATATGCATATGAGGTGACTGGAAATACCATGGCTTAGGTCAGGCACAATTTAGGTCTTCAAACTGATTTATCTTTGATTTATTATTTTAAAAAGATCTTTTGCAGCAGATTTGCCTAATGCAAGACATCTTTTGATTTAGTTACAGCTGCTTCCATAAGTGTTGATTGTGAATCCAAGCAAAATGAAAAATTTAACAATTTAATCTTTACTCTGTTTATCATGATGTTATTTATTAGAACACTGGATTTTTGTTTTCTTTGCATTTGAGATGCAATCCATTCTGAAGGCTGTAGTCTTTAATTTTCACCAGTAAATATTTTATATCCTCTTCACTCCCAGCAAGCAAGGTTATATCATATTTATCGTAGGTTGTTAATGAGTTTTCCTCCAATCCTGATCCCACATTCTTTTCATACAATCCAGCATCTCAGATTATTTGCTCAGTATACAGACTGAGTAAGTATGGTGAAAGAATACAACCTTGATGCTTACCTTTTGTGATTTTAAAACATTCAGTATATCCTTGTTCTAACTTCTGTTCTAATGACTGCCTCTTGATCTATGCACATTTCTCTTGAGAACAATAAAGGTTCTGGAATACCCATTCTTTGCCATGTTACCCATAGTCTGTCATGCAGTGGAAAACTTCTGCATAGTCAATAAAGTACAAGTAAACATCTTTCTGTTATTCTCTGTTTTCAGCCAAGATCCATCTGACATCAGCAATGATATCCCTAGTTTCATGTCCTCTTCTGAATCCAGCTTGAATTTCTGGCAGCTCCCTGTTGATGAACTGCTGCAACCATTTAAAAATTATCTTCAGCAAAATTTTACTTGCAGGTGATATAATGATATTGTTCGATCATTTCTACATTCCATTGGGTCATCTTTTTTGAAAGGGGTACAAATATGGATCTCTTCCAATTGACTGGCAAGTTAGCTGTCTCCCAAATTTCTTGGCATAGAAAGTAAGTGCTTCCAGTGTGCATCAGTTTGTTGAAAGATTTCCATTTATAGTCCATCAATTCCTGGAGCCTTGTTTTTCACCAAGCAGCTTGGACTTCTTCTTTTAGTACCAGTGGGGTTTTTTTTTGGTTTTGTTTTTTTAAATAACA